TATGAGGTGGCTCCCCATACTGCATTCTCCTTCTAAAGATCAGAGATTTGACCATTAGATAAGTAAGTTCCTTGGTCAAGATTGCAACTGGGATTCAATGACAAACATTTCTGACTTTTTCATTAAGTCACTAAGCCAAACAAAAGACAAGGAAAGCCCTTTAGGGCAATCACCCAAACACCTGGTTAGGGTGCACGCCTAACATCATTAGTGTTAACCAGATAAATCCTTGAAGGTCAGCAGAGGACTGAAAGCAACTCTAAGCTTTCCCTTCATTAATGGATTATGTGAGTGAGGTTTTATGAATGAGGCAACCTAAGGATAAATATGCCTGTCTTGAACACTTCCCATTTCAGTACCATTTCCCAAGATATGGAGTCTCTGGGTAGTGCAAATGGTTAATGGACTCTGCTAACCAAATGGTTGGAGGTTAGCGTCCCCCAGAGGAACCTGAGAAGAAAGGCCTGGGTATCTACTTCTGAAAACCTCAGCCACTGAAACCCTCTGGAGCCCAGCTCTACTTGGACACACATGGTGTTGCCATGACTTGGAGTCAACCTGACACCAACTGGGTTGTCTTCTTGGATGTTGTTGTTGTTGTTGTTATGTGCCGTTGAGTCGGACCCGACTCATAGCGACCCCTCCTTGGGTTGCCGAGGCAGTATCACTATGAAGTAGATTGCCCCATCTTCCTTCCGAGGAGTGGCTGGTGAATTTGAACTGCCAGCCTCCTGGTTAGTAGTCAGATGCCATAGGCACTATACTACCAGAGCTCCTTCTTCTCAGATATATACCTATATGTGCACACACACACGTACCTACATACACAGACCAGCAGAAAATGGGTTCCAACCACCTCCAGAAATACTAGATTCTATTATTTTTTCTTTTAAATTGGATGTCAGCAAGAAGAACAGTATCCTGAGATGTATACAGTATGTAAGAGGACTGCTGAACACTTGCCTGATATGTAACACGTGTTAGTCCCCGTCTAACTTTCAGAGAGGACATCTGCTTCCAATTGGCCCCAGACTGTCTTTTGCTATTTGTGTTTTAGGCCTTAGACTTCTTTGAATCATCATGGCATCTCAAAAGTGCAGAGTAAGCTCATACCAGAAGGAAAAGGAAGAAGTTTCCACGGAACAGAGTTCCATTTTGGCCACTATGAAGTTATTTTAGATATCAAAACTATCTACGCTGATGACACTCTCTTGGAGTTAGGAACACAACAGATTTTCAAAAACTGTTGCCCCTTTGCCTAGACTATCTGATTACGTTTGTTATCGACCTACTTACATACTTTATTTGGTTGATGCGAGTAGTTTTCTGCGCTCATTATTGCAGATTTGTTAACATTTTCTTTTCTTTTTAAATGTGGCCCCTTTCTGTTTGTGCTCTACCTCTTAAACCGAATAGCCGTCTTCACTCCCACAAGTCATTGCCATTATCTCGAGCTAATAAATCATGAATCCAGCGAAGAAGACATTAATTGCTTTACGTAAGTCTGAAATTCGCCAGCAAGAGCTGTGGGAGGCACTGGCAAGGACAGTCCACCCCCATTGGGGGACACCACCAGGTCAGATGGGACTAGGTGGAAAGGGTATGGGTCATATTTGAACTAGCATGCTCTTCTCTCTCTGGGCTGAATATAAGCCCAGCCAGGGAGCTCTGGTGGCACAGTGCCTAAGGCTGACTGCTAATCAAAAGGCTGGCAGTTCAAACCCACCAGCCACTCCTCGGAAGGAAGATTGGGCAATCTATTTCCATAGAGATACGGCCTCGGAAACCCAAGGAGGGGTCGCTATGAGTCAGAATTGACTCCACGGAAGTGGGTTTGGTTTTTTTGGTTTTATGAGTGTGATTACCAGCGAGTCCTGCCTTACAGATGGAAGCCGGGTTTTGTTAGACAACAAACATGGCTCTAGTAATTGAATATGAATCACTGATCCAGACACGTGGGCAAGAGTCTATTAAACAGTGATGGCAAACAGCCACAGGCTGCCTGTATGAGTCACAGGCATCTCATCAAAAAAGGGAATTAAGTTCCCAGTAAGGCAGCACTGGCTTTGTGAACATTACATTAAAGGCTTAAGAGGATGGCCCTTTTGTTCTTCTGGGACACAGGGCAGAGGACATTCCCAGAGGCCCTTTCATCTAGCTGTGCCCTATGTATTTCACTTAATGAACGCCCCTGAGATAAGAGTTATGGCACACATGTCATGTATGGGCTTGAACTGGTTTTTGTTTTTATAGTCAACTTGAGCTCTGTAGCTTTGCCATGATCTGCAGTCAGGTGAAGTTCAGCCAAAAGAACCTCAGGGGACAAGCTTTCCTGAGCAACTGCTGGTTAGAAGGACCATAATCACAGACTGAAAGTAGAATGGCTGTGTTTGGTGGGTCCTCAAAAAGTTAAACATAATTCCCATAAACCAAAAAAAAAAAAAAAGCAATTCCACTCCTTCCTATATATGCCCAGGAGAACTGAAAGCAGGGACTCAAACAGATACCTGTACAGCAGTGTTCTCGTTCACAATCGCCAAAAGCTGGAAACAACCCAAGTGTTTATCAACAGATGACAAGTGTAGTCTATCCACATGGTAGAAGATTGCTCAGCCATGAAGAGAAAGGAATTTCTGATACATGCTACAACATGGATGAACCTTGACAACATTACAGTGAGTGAAACAAGTCGGACACAAAAGGACACACACAGTGTGATCGCAATTACATGAGATGTCTAAAACAGGCACATGCACAGAGACAGAGAATAGAGCAGTGGCTACCACCAGCCAGGGAGAAGGACACTTGGGGTGATACTGCTTAATGGGCACAGAGATCTGGTTTGCATGAGTCAGCATTTTGGAAATGGATAATGGTGATGATTGTGGAACATGGTGAACATAATTAATGCCAATATTCTACAGTTAAGATTGCAAATGTTTTATCTATTTTACCACACACACACACACACACAAGTAGAATGATGGAGTTGGCCATTTTTCTTCCAATTACTATCGTTTCCTTAAACCCCAAATCTTTGGTATAAGATAACATCTTTATCTGCACTTTGAAAATCTCTTTGTTCTGCTGGGTCCCCATAAACTGCTGACTCTATTGGACGCTTATCTGAACCAAGTTACCTCCCCCAGTTTGATATAAGAAGTTTCCTCACATGTAAGTTTTATCACATAAGACATGATGAGCAAAGCACTTGCAGGAAATGTCATCTTCTTGCAGAAACTCACATCGCAATTACCTCTGGCAACGGTGGACAGATATCGCCACAGAAAAGATAGAACAGATTATTGGAATCCACAGATAAGCCTCAAGTCTCATTTCAGCCAAAACTTTCAAATGCTTCCCCACTGCCAACTGACTTCCCTCAGAGTTTCTGTAAGCTGCAAAACAGTACTGACTGGAAGTCTATTCTCTTGCTTATCATTCAAAATTTAAAGCCATTTGTTTAGAATCTTGAAGAAAGCATAACACACCATCCTTTAGAATTAGTAACTTCCCAAAATCAAGTTACTCTACATTGTAGCTAAAGCACCACATCTACCATTGAAAATATGCACGTGTGTCACTTCGTGGGTTAAACTATATTGTGTCAGTCTGTTGTGTATAATCTCATTCCCGTGAGAAAAGGGGATTTGTCATTTCCAGAAGGAAGAGGTGCAGATGTTCAAGGACTGCTCCTCCTCCAGCTCAGACCTTCCTACCAAAGAAAACAGAGTAAGACACCGGGGGAGAAACTAACAGGAGAAAGAACTGAAAGGGCTGAGGAAGCAGGGCAGCTGGAGAGCTGAGAAAGCAGAAATTTCACATAGAATTCTCTAGAAGGTGCGGTGACGGGCCCACCTGAAAAATGGATCCTCACCCACTGCACTCTCCAGATCGTACATACCCCAGAATGTATCCCTGAGACTGTCCCTGGGCCTCAGGACCACCAGCCACTAAGCCTCACTCCAGATAGGAGCTCAGGAATCAGCACAGAGGCCAGCTTCTCAGGATTGCATCTCCTACCCCATGCCTCCCAGCTGCAACTCTTCACCTTGTCTGCACTTGCAGGATGGTCCACACGGAGAGGTCATTCGGAGCTTTGGCTCACAAACCTCTGGTTCTACATGAAGCTCCTTTCTTTTTATTGGCTCCTTACCTGCTCCCTGGTACCCTCCTTACCTTCTCTAACTATACGACACTCGACTATTGGCTCCCCACAATTATGGAGAAGCCCAGGACCCTAACATCTAACACATCAATGGTCTTAGTTTCTTCTGGACTGCTTCACCTGAGCACCCCACATGTCCTAAAATAGTGACTGGAAGATGAAACCTGCCCCAAAGCTACCGAATGAGTGGCTGACGAGAGGAACTAACATGTAGATGTGCATTTCAAGAAGCTTGTGAAAAATGGGAACACTGGGAAGTATTTCATATACCGACTCAGTGGAAGACTGCAGAAACAACGGTGCCTCACCACCAATGAGCCACTTAATCATCACCTTTAGCATCCTGTGGCCATCTCTTGCATCGAACAACAGCATAACATCTAGTCTCCAACATCACACAAAAGCCTAGTAGCTAGAGGAGCTGGACTTGTCTTCATGGGAACCCTGTCACCCTTGCACAATTGGTAATTTGGAAATACAGGCTCCAGAAGAAGACGTGTTAATCTCAGGAGTTTTCTGGATGTTACTATACCACGTACTACAACCACATTTCTGCTTTTCTCATCTAGGTAAGCCTGAGACTAGAGTAGTGAACAAAACAAGATTGTGACTTGGCATCCACGGCAGAATGATTTTCTCTGCTGCTCCTGCTTCTGAGTTCCATGTTCTTGGGCTCATACATCATTGCCTGGAGTGGGCATATTACCACTCTTCATTTCTCTAACATGGTGTTCAGACACAAGGACTAATGAATCTATCCATCAAACCAAGGAAAATCAAGAAGCTGGAGACAGGCTGACCACATGAAATCAATTAGGCACGTCCAACTTACAAGCTTCCCGGAGCTTCTCCTTGTCGTAGTGGAATCCTTCATAGTCTTGTAAACTGATTTTGTTCACTCGGATCCGCAGGCGGTCTGGGACAGACTGGGGACTGCAAAATAAGACCACGTCGTTAGATACGAGAAAGTGGAGCTGGGTGTCACACACCTGGAGAGACTAACAGCAGTACAGTCTCTTCATGCTTAGAAGGAAAAGTTCTCACGAAAGCAGAACTGTGGGTCCTTTCCCAAATACTGCAACTATCTGGAGCACTCTTCTCCAAAAATTTCCGAGTTTCTGGAGTTTGGGTAAGGACATGACACTAAGCAGAAAACGCCTCTCAGCCCATGCTTACAGTATGTCTTCTATTCATTGATTCACAGTTTTAATAAGATCATGTCTTGGTTCCACAGCATACGTGATGTAGCGAGTCTGAAACAGGAGGAGTGAGGTGGAGCTGTAAGAACTACCCTGGGCAAACGTGCCAACAACAGTGGGCACAGCCAATGGCAACCGCACAGGGATAGAGTATCTACAAAAATCAGACCGAGAACCTCGACAGGCCAGGACTCGGATTGAAATCACCCTACACATCACAGAAGTCTCAGCTAAAGTGTATTAAAACCAGTGCTGCCCCGGGATGGTACCTCTGAACACGAAACTGAAGAACAACTTTAAATGATGTCCAGTGTTGTTTTGTTAAGGTCATGAAGCATGGAATGAACTTCAGTATGGTCAGGACACATTCAGCAATTAAAGGGGGCAACACCACACTTTCCGAAGTCTCCTGTTCTCCCTCAGAATGACTTTTTCTAGACCCTTTTGATTTTCTTAAGTAACATTTTCAAAACAGTTAATTGTGGGCATTAGTTGAATGAAATTATTTAGTGTTCCTCACCATCACTATCAATCAGTACATTTAAACCCACTCCTCACTTATTGACCTGGGTAGGTTCCAAAGACCAGGTCATTATGCAAAAAATCAGCATGACGCAAAAATGGAGGACGACCACATCAGATCACAAAATGGAAGATGGCTATGTCATTACATAACTACCAAGTTTCATCATTACATAACTGTCAAATTGTATCATCACATAAGTGCCAAGTTACATCATTACATAATTGCCAAACCACTGAGAATCACGACCCAGCCCACTGACACATAATCTTAAACATCAGCTGCCATTACTCTTGCATCACACTTCAGCATTCACTACTGCCCCACGTATGTTGTTAATGTGCAAAATAGATTTTTTACTATTGTCGTAAATGTGAAAATTTGGATAACAAGATAAGTAAGTATGGTCCTGTAACATAACACAATCCCCACTTGTCTTTCCACAGTAACTATTATACTAAGATTTCCTTGGTTCAAAGAGAGGATTACTTCTCCTTTCTTCTATTACAGAACAATCATCACCACTGATGAGAGCAGAAAGAACGTCATTATTCCTCAACTCTGTTCAGTGGATGGATGGACAGATGGATGAAAGGGAACAGGAAAGGAAGAAAGGAAGGGAAGGGAGAGAGGGAGGGAAGGGGGAAGGAAAGGAATTGAAAGAGGAAAGGAGAGAAAGAGGGAAGGAGGGAGGAGATACTTTTAAAATATTGTCAGGACACCTCTCTCTACCTCTACATCAAACACACATACATGTATACACACTCATTTAATTTCACTGCAACTCTGGAAGAGGAGAGGAAAAAATAATTCAATCTCATTCTTTTCTCTAAAATCTCAGGGCAAAATATATCTCCCTCAATCAAAAATAACACATATGTATTCAACTACAGAGACATACATGTACAACCACACATAGTACTCCACACACACACACACACACACAATATGAAGCTATGACTATTTCAATACCTAGATATAAATGCACAAATTCTATAAAGAGATGGTAAGCCTGTTTGAAGGTCATCAGATTAAAAGCAAAGCCAGTACAAAACCACAGACATGGGCATTTCCAGGGGAAAGCTGAAAACACAAACATGATGGCTGTGTCATCCATTCGCTCAGAGCTGGTCTGTTGGGTGTCTACTCTGTGTCAGCACCCGGCTGGACGTTGACCAGGCATGATGAATAAAACTGACATGAGTATTTAAGTAGTCATGGGAGTGATGGTTTGAAAACCAAAAAACCAAGCTCACTGCCATCGAGTCGATTCCGACTCATAGTGACCCCTTCTGGGTTTCCGAGGTGGTAAATGGAAGTAGATTGCCCAGTCTTCCTTCCATGGATGGTTGCTTTGGCTTCTGGTTAGCAGTCAGCTGCCTTAGGCACTATGCCACCAGAGATCCTTTGTTAAAAAGTATCTGAATGCAAATTGATGGAACAGACCTTAAATATCATGCATTCCCACACCATCATTTATAGATAAGGAAATGAGGCTCAAAGCGCGAGTGTCTTTAGTCACAGAGCTACCTGTGGCAGAGATGGGTGAAGAGCTCTGGGTGCTAGCTTCATCCAATTCCTGTTCCTCTTTGTGCAATGCCCTCTGAGGAGTCTATGCCCTCCAGTCAAAGGATCAATAGCAGGAATCCCTGTGATTTGATGGCAAAACCGTCAAGCCTGGTTTAACAAGTCAGGTGGTCTCCAGGTGCTCAGAATCTTTTTATTAATGAACCATCGACAGGGTGTGGTTAAGTAGATTGTGGGACATTCAAACAAGACAACACTGGGAAGATATCACAAATGAGTGTAGAGATCTACATTCATTTAGAGGGAAGTCTAGTGACCAGGACATACTGCTAAGTGAAAACAAGTCATGGACAATTCGTCGTTGTTGTTGTTTGGTACTGACGAGCTGGCTCCGGCTCATAGCAACCCTGGGTACAAAAGAATGAAACACTGCCCCGACACGTGGCATCCTCACAATCCTTGCAGCCACGGTGTCAATCCATCTCATTGAGGGCCTCTCCCTTTTTCACTGACCCTTCACTTTACCAAGCATGACATCCTTCTCTAGGGAATTGGCCCTTATGACCACATGACCAAAGTAGGTGAGATGAAGTCTGGCCACTCTCACTTCTAAGGAGCATTCTGGCTGTTCTTCTTCTGGGACAGATTAGTTAGTTCCTTTGGTAGTACTCAGTACCTTCAGTAGGAGCTCTGGTAGCATAGTGGCTAACGCACTTGACTGCTAACCAGAAGGCTGATGGTTCAAACCCACCAGCCACTCCTCGGAAGGAAGGTTGGGCAATCTACTTCCGTAGAAATACTGCCTTGGAAACCCAAGTAGTGGTCGCTATGAATCAGATCTGACTCGACAGTACATAACAACAACAAGAGTACTTTCAGTATGCTTTGCCAATACCACAACTCAAAAGCGTCAACTCTTCTTTGGTCTTCCTTATTCATCGTCCAGCTCTCACATGCATGTGAGGCTACTGAAAACATCATGGCTTGGGTTAGGCACATCTTAGTCTTCAAGGAGATATCTTTGCTCTTCAGCACTTTAAAGAGGTCTTTTGCAGCAGATTTGCACAGTGCAAACCATCATCTGATTTTTTTACTACTGCTTCCATTGGTGTTGATTGTGGAACTAAGTAATATGAGAGTTTCTGTGACAAACAGTGACCACAGACTGTTAGTACCAAATACTTCCCCCAAATTAAAGGCATTTGATTGTTTAATTCTCGATTCCATCCATGTGATCTGCAAAGACTGTAATTATCAAGTATTTTCCTACAAGTACAGGAGATAAGAGGAACTTTTGATGCATACAATGAGGTATTCCATGTACTGTGTCATGGAAGAGGGGGAGGGCAGAGGTGAAAAGAGCCCGACCCACACATTTTTTTAAGAAACAGTAGGTCTAATGGCAGCAGGCTCTGGTCTTCTCCAGGTGAGCTGAAGGTATCAAAACTAAAGTTACAACAGAGGTAAGCAGTTGCCATGGAGTCGACATGGCTGCCCCATTTGTGTCAGAGAAGAACTGTGGACCAGAGGGTTTTCAATGGCTAATTTTTCAGAAGGGGATCACTAGGCCCTTCTTCCAAGGGGCTTCTGAGTGGACTCGAACCTCCAACGTTTTGTCTACCAGCTGATCACGTTGACTATTTATACCACCCATGACTTCACACAGCAGCAGCTGCCCAGTGGGACACGGGAGTCAGAAGATGACAGCAGACCAGTCTCTGTGCTCTTCCACGGACCTCCCTGACTTTGAGCTCACCAACGTGCACCACCTTCCAGTTTGTCAGTGCCCGCCCTCAGTCTACATGCTTTCAACCCTAGTTTTCCACCTCTGCCCTCCAACCCTGACCCACACCCTACTGCTCCTAAACCAGGGCTCCCACCAATCTTCCTGACTCACACCATGGGCACACAACAGGGACCGTCATTTGCATAGAACTTTCCAGATGACAAAGTGGTTCACATACTATCTTGCTGCACCTCCTAAATGACCAGCTGAGCAAGATGGAAGAAAATGGAGATTCACCCACTACCCGCTGCCTTGTTCCATCCACCTTCCTGCATGTTGACACTAGAGCTCCCATCTTCTCCAACAACCTAGGGAGCACCCCAGTTTCTCACCAGTAGAGGTGTGCTCATATCCATACTTCTGACTTGTGACTCTGGTCTCAGCTGTTGCCCTAGATGAGATATATCAGCAAAGTGTAGGGCTGCAGACCACAATGTCCACGGTGGGCCCTCCAAGTTATTCATAACTCTGATGCAGACAGGAAGGAGCCCTGATGGTACAGCGGTAACCAAAAGTTTGAACCCACCGTGGAAGGAAGATGTGGCAGTCTGCTTCCATAAAGATTACAGCCTTAAAAACCTTGCAGGGCAGTTCTACTTTGTCCTACAGAGTTGCTATGAGTTGGAATTTGACTCAACAGCAAAAGGTCTGGTTTTAAGTGTAGCTGTAGATGGTAAGTATGGGAGGCATACTTAGTGAGGTGGTTAGAAGTTCAGACCCCAGTCAGGTGGCCTGGATTTGAGGTAAGGTTCTTCTAATTATGGCTAATCAGAAAAATTTTTCCCTCTGTTGCCTTACAGGTAGAGTGGGAGAAATAACCGTATCTACCTCATAGGAGTATCATGACAATTAAATGAGTCAATGCACATAATGCAGTTTAGGAAAATGCCTGGCCCAC